TTTTTTTTTTTATTTTTTTTTTTCTTTTTTTTTTTTTTTTTTTTTTTCATGCACTCGGTGATAAATAAAGTAACGATGGATACGAGCCGTTTATTTTGAAAGTGCGCCCAAGTTTTTCGTTTATTTTTGAATCTAGATATTTAACGGTTTGCGCTTTAATGAATTTAAAAATATGGTAGCATATTGTTTTTGTGTTTCTAAGAGTGTATTATTTAACAATTAGCACGACAAACATTGTTTAGAAAATAACGATAGCTGTGAATGAACTTGAGCCACTTTCAGAATTAACGAAGTAACTTTCTTAATTTTTTAAAAAGGCATAAATCCCTTGAAAAAATGAAATTCCTTTATTAAAGTAAAGAAAATATATATATATATATATATATATATATATACATACAATTTTGTGTTACAAAATTTAAAAAATATCCAACTTTTGTTCACGATTAAAGGAATGTTTTACATTCAAATAATATTTTTATATTTAATATTATTATAAATTATAATAATGTTAATATAATATAATATTTAATATTATTATAAATTATAACAATATTAATAATATTAATATTAATTTAATATTATATTAATTATTATTAACATATTTCGTAATTTATAATTCATTTTTTCCCCAATTATCGTTAGTTATCGTTACTATATTTATATTAGTATTACGATTGGTCTTACATTTTTGTACAATGGTGTAAATTTAATATTATTAAAGTTTCTTGGTCTCCCCCGACGCGGTAGTGAATCCACAGTTTTGAATAGCGCATCCTCATTCATTGATGGTTCAGAGAACATTTTATATGGTTCACTTCTCAAAAATCGCATCCAACATATTTTTTAACCATATTATTCACCCTTTTTTCCATTAGTATTTTTTAACCTTGTAAAAATCGCGTCCTCCAGAGGTTTAGTCGAAATGAAATCCACTCGTTTTCAACTCATCATTTCATTTAGAGTGAATTTTATTTTTCCGACGCTTTTTTATGATTTCGTAATATTCCTGACATAATAGACTTCGTATGAGTAACCTCGTTATTCTGAAAATGGGACTCAAGCCACTTTCAAAATAAAAATAAAAATTTTTGTCATTCTATTAGCCAGCAAAATTCTAGAAATGTAAATATTGAAACAGCTAGCTGGATTTTGTTAGAAAATGCACTTTCAAAGAAAAATAAGCTGATAGTTTCCCTTTCACTTTTTCCTTTCTTCCTCTTTTTTTTCGTGTAGTACGCAGAAAGGAAAGAACTTTCCCTTTTCCCTCTACAACATAATTATCAGTTAGATTTTTGAACGAGATTTTTTACATTCTTCCTTGCTACTCGCTGGCATAATTGTTTATTCTGAACTGCTGTCAGAAAGTAAAAGTTTCAAGGTGAAGTTTCAAAATTTAGCCTCGTTCCAATTTTTAATGTAATGTTCGTGCTTCTGCATAAAATCGTGATTCTTCTTCTTCTTCTTCTTCTTCTTCCACTAGCCAAACCTTTGAAGACTAAAGACTATTTCCCCTTGCGATTAGATCAACAATTTTGTTACGTGTATAGACATTGAAGGATACGTTGAATCACGATATTAAATCGGTGACGCACGATTTAACGTAATTCAACGGTGTAACGTTCTATGAAATTTCAATCAATCTGTCATTTTTCTAAATTGCAATGAGACTTGAATTGAATTCGCTCCATTGTTTGCGAGTTAATCGAGTTGTTGACACGTTCTGCTTTTATCAACATTCTCGCGGCGAATGACGTAACTCGCCTTTAACGTGTTAACCAGAAGTTACTGGCAAATTCTTGGCAAACGTTCGCTTCACATTTAGAAACCTAATCCAAACCCATCGATTCTCCCGTCTCCTTGGAGTACCTAGGTCTGGTGATTTTTAAATTTTAATCGATCAGATTTGATTTACTTGCGTAATTGAATATATTTGCAAGCGAGCGACGTTTTATTCAAATTGAACGGGCTGTTGCAATTCCAGCGTTTCGACAAAACTTCGACTGGATCCAACAAAAATCGCTGTTACACATATTCAATGTCAATTAATAAACTTTTATGAATTTTCTAACATGAACGTGCCTCTTTCTAAAGTACAATTTAACCTCTTTCGCTGGAATTACGCGAGAATAATTTCACCCAAAATTAGAATACTATCTCAGCTTTAACACTAGAAACTACCAAAGTAGTCAAAATGACTAATTTGTAATTTTCCTATGGAAATTTCGCGTATTTACAGCGGTGTATTTTTAATAAAATCGAGTGACTTTTATTAAAAATAAACTGCATTAATAGAAGCTTGTATCCTTTATATTGAATTATTAACTTTTTCTTGAATTTCTATTCCTATAAATATTATACTTTTATATTATACTGTATAGTATACTTTTATATTATACTGTCGGCAGTTCGAGTGTTCAATATATTGAAATAATAACCCAGGCATTCTTGGTCATTTCTATCCAGTGATATACTCGATGGTTTCGTGAAAGAAGTCGAATTATCGTATACGGTTTGGTCACTCGTTATGGTCCGTGAACCAGTCACTGGCGCAAGAGGTTAAATATCGGAGTGGTCGTCTCATCATCGCCAATTGTCCGATTGGCATTTCATCAAGAAACACGTGTATTCTCATATTTTCGAAATTATTTAATTAACTATTCGTGCAAACATGTGGATAATCGGCGCTGATTATCGCGAGGATAAGAAACCTGCTTACGAATTTCTTTTACTAAATACACTCGTTTATCCGAACGATCCGATTATCGTGCATTCTTTCGCAAAGCTGCAATTTCGTGTAATTCCCGAAAATCATCGAGAGGCGAACGAACTCGAGTAGCATTTGCGATAGATAAATACGACGGTAAACACTTGGCACTGAAAATATATCAGACAAACTCGTGCAGAAAGTTCCATTGGATAACTGGGCCGGGGATCGGCCGAGGAGGCGAGTAAGTGGGTCTCTTAACAAACACGATAAATAACACAATAGCGTGCGCAACAAACGGACGCACGTCATCGTGTCGTGTCGTGTCGTGTCGTGTCGTGTCGTGATGCACGCGTGTCGCCGCGATCCACGGGTCCAGGATATAAAGCAATTGGCGGACTTTACAAGTCGCCTGGCAGCCGGCGGATCGCGGTGATTAGAATGAACCTAACCGGCTAACGGGGGAAGTCCGTTGCGGTGATTTCTTAATGACAGATTTATGCAATGTGGTGCAAGTTGCCTCTCACCTCGTTTCACCTCGTCTAATCGTCGCGTTGAAAACGTACTCTAAATTGACGATGATGCACAACTTTGCACAGCATTGGATCTACCGGGAAATCGGCAGGAAATCGACGATCAGCGATTCGATGTAATCATCGATGAGTAAGACGATAATAAAAGCTGTTGACGGTGTCGGTTTACGAAGAATATTGCTATTCTCATTTTTTATCGACTTTGCGTTGATTTTCTAGGAAATTCTCTTTCTTCTGCTCTGCGGATTGCATGGATTACTCGCAGAAAAGTTGACTACACTGGTCTTTCTAATGTTGTATTCACTCTGTTTTCCCGAATCGATCGGTCGCGAGAAACCATTTCGGGAAAACTGGAATTTCCAGTGAGACGAGAAAGAACCTCGAAACTTCCTTCTCTAGCGTTTCCTCATTGCGTTTCATTTTCCACATTCCGAATTACCCGAGTTTCGGAACAACAATTCCGCGTTCGACAGAGCGAAACGTCGAGTATTTTAAGACGATTGTCTTTCATTCTGATTCTTTTTATTTTAAGAAATTGAATATTTTAGGGATTTGAAGAAGTGAACTGTGAAACTCATTAATGAAAAGCGTGAAAAGTTTCTCAAAAAAAATGGAAATTTTTCTCGAATTTGCAACAATCCAACAACTCATTCGTAAAAATCGTACATTGTATATTTTAAAAATGTTATATTATATATATTATATTATATATATTATATATATATATATATATTATATTTATATTACAATTGTAATATTAATATTATATTTATATGATAGTAATATATTGTTATTTATATATAATAAATTATGTAAATGTAATAATATTATAATATTAATATTATATTTTATATAATAATAACATATTTATATTTGGATATAATGAAATTATATAAATGTAATATTATAATATTATTATATTTATATAATTTATTATATATAAATATAATTTTATTTATATTTATATTTATATTATTATTATATAATAATAATATATTTATATTTATATATAATAAATTATATAAATATGATAATATTATATAAACATAATTTATTATTAACATAATAATATTGTAATATATTTATACAATTTATTATATAAATATAAATACATTATTATATAAACACAATAATATTATATTAATATTCATATTACATTTATATTACAGTTATATTCATCTATTACTAATTTACATTGTTATGTTACATGATGTTGGATAGTTGTTGTATATCTGTAATTTTAGATGCATTATTCTTGCAGAGTTTATACGAAAGTATAAAGACAGAGCCGTTCAAGATACCGGAAGACGACGGGAATGATCTGATGCACACATTCTTCAACCCCGACAAGGAAGGCTGGCTCTGGAAGCAAGGTAATTCTTTTGTCGACTGTGTAACGTGCAATTCGACCGCGGCCCTTCCCGACGTTTCTCTTCTCCTCTTGACCCCTTGGTATGATATGAAATGAGAAAAGAAGCCTCCTTTTGCGTGGTGCTGAGAGAAAGGCCGAAAGAATGCTGCTCGAGCCACCGTTGATCGAACAATGTTGCGAACGTATTCCTGGCCTGCATGCCGGTCCCCTTTTCATCCGGGGGATGTCACGAGTGCATGAGGATGTTAACCCTTTACAGCGGCGTATATATATATATATTTTTTAACAAACTTTTCATCGATCCTTCTTTGCAACCGGGAGAAAGTCCTTTTTTTTCTCTCTCTCTCTCTCTCTTTCTCTCTCTGTCTCTCTTCCGAGTAGAAAAGAAGTAGAAAAGAATATTTTGAACGGAGATTTGTGTAAATAGTAATGAATAGTAATTTTTGATCTGACGAAAAATGATTCTTAACTTAAAAGGAATGGTAAAAGAGGCTGTGAATAGTGGAAGTAATTTTGTTTCTTTTCGTTGACCCTCTGTAGGTAAATTGAATTTCAACTTTGACCTTTTTTTTTTTTTTTTCAAGGGAAAAGGATTTCTATTCTTATTGGAAAAAATTTTATTCGACGCGACAGAGTGTGATCTCAGGATTTTTCTTCTTTTTTTTTTTTTTCTCAAGCCTAGAGAACAGTTTACCTACAAAGTGTCAAGTAGCCTTGTCTGCTTTTTGGTTTACGTATAGAGTAGAGCTTGTAGCTTCTTAACACAGTAAAAGTATATGATATAATAACCACCTGTATTGATCGATGTCGTAAAAATTTTCTCACAAAGTAATCATAGGTGAAACTTAATGAGCCGATTCGTTCGACCCGATGAGGTACTTCCGTGATTTTATCAGTTGATCTGATCTTATTCAGTGATCTTATTCGTTGCTCTTTCATATCAATCTGAATCCCTCAAATTTGCATCGATCAGCCCGATCTAGAGTTGTGATCCACAAGCACGCGCCACCCATGGCGCGTAAAGTGAGATCCGGATCAGTTCCGCGACATGCGGGTATAGTCGAGGGACAGATAAAACGTACTTGCTCGATGCATCGAGAAATCGATCGTTAGCAGCATAACAAGCATAAACAAACGATCGAAGATTTCACGAAAAGAGTCCGTGTACAATCGAAACCAGATGAGACGATAAGTTGTCGCTATAAAGGGTTACAGGGACGAGTGAGAACATCCTGGAACAGCGTTTCCCAAACTTGGCTGGACTGGCCACGATGATGATTGAACGCGACTGGATGAACATTCTCACCACTACTTTGGCGAATTTATACAAATCGAAGAGAAACTCTCTGTCGCAAAAAACAAATTACGAACGCGAGGGAAAGTTTGGGAACCGCTGGTCCAGAAACATCCCCCCGACGACAACGTAAACGAACGAAAACCCGTCGAAGTATGAAGTATTTTCTTACATCGTGTCGCTTTGTCTTTCTGCTGCCCTGAACGGAGACAGCAGGTAAATAACGCAGTTTGTGGTTGTTCATCGATCGTTAGCTTTTAAATTCGGCCGGGGTGGTTGTTTCAGGCGGACGTTACAAGAGCTGGAAGAGACGGTGGTTCATATTGAACGACAACTGTCTCTATTACTTCGAGTACACGACCGACAAGGAGCCACGCGGCATCATCCCGCTGGAGAACATTCAGGTCAGAGAGGTGCAGGATCGACATAAGCCGCATTGCTTCGAGCTGTACGCCGCCGGCTCCGAGTTCATCAAGGCGTGCAAGACGGACAGCGAGGGAAAAGTTGTCGAAGGTACTAAAGCCGGGCGTCGTCCGATGATGAAAACGTTAATTGATCGATGCGCCCGTCGCCTGCCCGCACCATCTGATTTTAATCCGCACGAAATAAACGCTGCTGCTAAATGTTTGAAGATTCTTAACAATTGAAGATTGTTAAAAAGAAAAAAAAAAAAGTCGTAAGATCCTTGGAGGAAGAAAAATGGAAGAAGAAGAAGGAAAAAAAAAAAAAGAAATGGTTCAGCAAATTCTGGAAATTCTTTTCCATGTAACATGCGTGAATTAGGTAGGATACGAAATGTATTATAAACGAAATGGTAGGTTGACGTAACTTTGTTTAAGAATCGCCATCCTACGCGCTGAGGCTTGTGCGAACAGAACCAGCTTAGCGAACAGAGACACATTGTTTTGTATTTTAATTGCATATCAAAGGCATTACGCTGCCTGTTCTCACGTGTCGTCTAATTTTACCGTACGAGCAAAAAATTGTAACTTGCGAAAAGAACTAGGTACGCCGGGCGTTCGTTAGATTAAAGCCCGAAAGAAACAGAGAGAATTAATAGTGCACCCGAGGATAAAGAATTTCAAGTACCGGCCGGGTGAACCGTGTCTTTCTCACGCGAGACGATCGAATCCTGCGCGTGTTTCACTGCCATTTAACGCAGCCCTTCTTTTCTTTTTTTTTTTTTTTTTTTTATAGCACGTGGTAATTACGCCGGCGTTGTAACTGTTGTTCGTTGCTCGTTGCAGGCAAACATACCGTGTACAGAATGTCCGCTGCCACGGACGAAGAGAAAGAAGAATGGATCAAATGTGTGCGGTAAGTTGTTATTCGGTCTGTGAATAATTGAAAAAAAAGGCTTTCAGTTCTCACTGGGATTGCGAGCCCTGCTTGTTTAACGCTCCCGCGAATCTTTTAGTGAAAAATTGTGGGCGGTTTTCAGCTTATTTTGCGCTTTTAACGATCGTTGATTTTTATACGAACCTCTTCTTTTTTTGTTAGTAGAGTTTAGTTATTATATATAATATAGCTCCTTTTATTTGATTATTCTACAAACTTGTATGAAATACTATTTTTCCAAAAAAATTATATATATATAATAGAAAGGTATTATAATTAGTTTAATGAAGAATGTAATAAGTTAGAAAAGTATTCTTTTAATTTGAATGCGTATTTAGGATCCATTTCGCAATATCATTACGTTTGCAAACGTGGCAAGTTTTACATATAAAAAATATAAGTTTTTTTTTTTGAAAAATAGTATTTCATACAAGTTTGTAGAATAATCAAATAAAAGGAGCTATATTATAATACATATAATAGCTATATTACAATGTATTATAATATAAGGAAGTAGAATAGCAAATTAAAAGAAAGCTGTTTCTTTTCAATATAATTCCAATTGCAATTTGATACAGTATGGCTATATAGTTTATAGATTATAATATAGTATAGTTATATTGCAATATATTATAATATAAGAAAGTAATAAGTTAGTAAGAATAGCAAGTTAAAGTAATAAGTTAGTAATAATAGCAAGTTAAAGTAATAAGTTAGTAATAATAGCAAGTTAAAGTAATAAGTTAGTAATAATAGCAAGTTAAAAGGAAGTTTTTCAACGTAATTCCAATTACAATTTCAATGTTTTAATTCCAGGCAAAGCATATCGCACAATCCCTTCTACGACATGCTTGCGGCGAGGAAAAAGAAGGCGCAAAAGACAAACGTACATTCAAAGAGTTAAACTTTACCACGGACACAGCTTCGAGAGAAGCCTGGCAAGACACAAAACTGTCTATTCACGGACCTGCGTCCCTATCAGGATCGTGGAATACAATCAAACGAATCTGGATGAAGGGCCATCCAATTACACGTGGTGGATTTAACAAGGAAATACATAGATGTTCGCTTCACCTGTTGATGAACGCTTGATGGAACGTGGCATCGTTGATCAAGCCAGAAGACCCGCGAAGAAACGAGAGGAGTAGAAGATGAAAGGAACAGAAAACGATGCTACTGATTGAAAATCGTTTGGCATTATGTTTTGTATAAAGGCTTACGCTGCATTTTTAGGGGCCTAGATACGTATTGTTTTAAATGAATTTCGACGATAGAATCCTGAGCCTGAGAGACGTTTGAAGTTGTAACAATTTTAAGAACAGTACAGTGATATTGATTCGAATTGGAATCACGAAAAGACAAGTTTTTTTTTTTTTTTTTATTCCTTTTCGTAAAGCTTTGCAAAGAGGTAGGCGAACGAAGATTTGGGACAGCTTCGAATAAGTTAGAAAAGTATGGACGCGTGTAATAGCTCAACGACCGATGGAAAGATAGATTCGTCCAGAGAACAGAGAAGAGACAATTTTTGGAAAGAGTGAAATCTTTCTTATTTTCCGGCAGCTGTAGAGAATTATCGAGGCTCGATGTTTTATTTCGAGTCAACCGAAATGTGCGTAAAATATTTATTTTATACCGGAACCTTCGCGCGGTGTAATATCATAGTTCCGCGTTCTTTTGTAAGAAAGAAGAAAAGCCGAAGGTTCTAACGCTTTAACCGAAGATAATTAGAAAGTGTAACGGAACAAAGACTTTATAAACGACTAGACACGGACGTTAGAGGCGAGAATGAATTAGCAAGATGAGATGCGTGCATTAATGTGATAGTTGTGTATTTATTTGAAAGAAGAATGAAACGTATTTAGATAAGACTAGTTAAAAGAAAAAGCTAGTTTCCTCAATATGCCAGAAATCATCTTAAACTGTACATTGTCGTACAGTTTGTAAGTATGGCACGTTAGCCAATTATGTGACTGTAGGCTAGAATAATTTTCGTTTTTCCTTCGTTTGAATTATTTTCATGTTTTCGTACGAATTATATTTATATATATGATTATTTATATATATAAATATAAGTATCTAAATACATAAATATATATATATTATGCACGAGGTGTGTTGTAGCTTTGTGCATATATATATATGTATGTGTGTGTATAAAATAATTATAATAGTACACGAAAGTTAAATAGTAACTTGATGAGATCCAATTAAGAGCCTGCATCCTTACAGTATTCAGTCTCGTGACAAAAACTGAAATATGAGCATAATTTACGTTGTCTACGAAATCCACAGGATTTTTTTTTTTTTTAATATACATTGAGAGTTATTTATTCGTTTAGGTTATTCTAGATTTAAAAAAAAACATACTAATAAAGTTCATCTTTAAGTAGGCTTATCCTGCTTTTTCGGTTTTGAAAAATTTAATCAGATTTAATCAAAGTTTTTGAAACAGATCTTCCATATCCATTTTTGATAATGATCATTTCGACAAACGTTACATTTTTTTTTATATTGCAAAGTATATCAATTACTAGCTAATTAAGCTCTTTCTATTTATCAAATTCTCAAACTTGTTTCTTTGTAACGAAGCAGCATCCGAAGCAGGATTTAAATACACTCGTTCATTATTTCCCCGGCTCTAGTTTAAGAACCCGTACTGATCCGTCTTCGTGTCACAGTTTTCTAAACATAGATCCTTCCAGTTTAGCGATTATCTAGCGAGCTTAAAACCATAATCGTATCAATACATAGACGAAAGGCAAGAAGACAGAAAAAGTAAAAGGCAATGATGTGGGTGCCTTTGAGATCTTGTTCAAGCTAGTCGTAACAATTAATCCGTCATATGCAAGGAGTGTGTAACGGAACTCCAGGATTAATTATGTTCTTTTCCTTTTCTTTTTTTTTTTTTTTCTGCTAGACACGAGAGAGTCAGACATCGAAAAAGCCTTATTACGATTTACTAAATAATGAAACGCAGAAATAATTATATAGGGCCAAGACTAATAGGATGTAAGTTTTTTAACGTCACGCTACTCATGGTAGGATGTATAACTGTTCCCCCGGGAAACAGTGATTTGTACCCGATCGTAGTTTTCAAGGAAGCGCACTATTTCTATTGGACTATTGACAGATAATTGATTCGTGGCTACCAACCCGTCCTTGAATCGTCTTTGTACAGATTATTTTCTCTCTCTTTCTTTTTCTTCTCTCCACTTCCTTTCTTTCAACTGCCTGCAATTACAAACAATTCGAGGGAGGGGTACCGCGTTGATCATTATTTGTCTGTAATATTTATTCAATAACATCGATGAACATGTTTCTTTAAGCAGTGCTACGGAAATAATAGTTATATACATATATAAATATATATATATATATATTAAAAAATAAAAAAAAAACAAAAAAACGAACTGGTCGTGCATTGATAGCGAGTTGTGTAAAAGTCATTTTAGAGTTTCGTTAACATGTTCACATTCTTCATATCATGTTTTCGTGAAGAATTGTTTATTGGCTAATGTAATATAATTTGTACTTTATTTTGGGGAATGATTAATTGATTATTTTTACTACTACAGCAAGTAAACTTAAAACGACATACCAGTGGTGCTGTTGTAGAATTATAAGATTCAACGATGCTGGCAATTCGAATGAAGTTTATGAAATTTGTTCGTAAGAAATGTGAGATAACATTTGCAAATCAGAAGATATACAAAGTTTTTAATTTAACGTAAAGTATTCGAATTGTAGCAGTTGATAAAATTCGAAAGAGAAAAGGGAAAACGTATATTTTGTGTTCGTGAAATAGTAAAAAACAATCGTAAATAATGAAACTTACGTACTAGTAAAGTAATTTATTCAGTCTAGAAATTGTATAAAGAAGAAAAAAAATCTGTATTTTACAATGGAGAATTGTACATTTTGTTGTATATTATTTTCACTCGGTAATTGTTATGGATTCATAATGATCTGTGTACTGTATTTACGATCTTATATGTGTATTAATTTAAACGTAATTAATAAATATTTCCATTTCGTAAAAAGTCCCTGTAAATAATTTTCTCATAATGTAAGTAAATTTAATGAGAAATCTTATTTTGTACTTTCTTTTATGTTACTTTCCGATATCCCCTAAAAAGATGTACTACCGTAACGTACATTATGAATGTGTAATATCTTTCGAAGTTCAAATATAATACAAAATATACAAAAAGAGAAAGATTGAGGTGTATTAAGGAAGATGCAATTATAGAAATTCACATGTTGATTTCTTTAATTAGTATTTTTGCAAATAAAAATTTATTCCATTGTTTGTGGGCAGTAAAATGCTAGCGCCGTGGAACTAATCATTATCTCTATCCTAGTAATATAGTATTGCGCTCCTTGTCTGTAGCGACCTCTACTTCGAAGAATTTAGATCAACGCCATCTATGTTCATTAAATCGTTCCATTGAGATACGTATTGCCGACAATAGAATATTTAAAAATTGTTAGTAATTTAATTATCACTATGGAAATCTTTACACATACTTGTATATACTGTAACCATAGTAGAAATTCTTCATTCGTTATTTGATTTTCGTTGTTTGATATTCGTTATTTGATATTTATTATTATCATTCATCATTAGTAATTATATATTTTGTTGCAATTATAATATTTTTACATAAATTAAAAACGGAGTTATTATTTAAATTTGTAGTACTATGATTGAGAATAATTATCAACATAGTCACTATAAAATTGGTGTGACCCCCTACATGATGAAAAAAAAGACATAACTACAATCTACCAGTCGATAACTTAGCTGTCTCTAATAGACGTCAGTATCTGTATTTTTGTTTTAATAAAGGCACAGATAAAGTACATATATGAAAATACCTCGTTTGTAAGTCTATTCATATACATATGTACCTCAGGCATGGAACACGAAAAAGCATTAGTTATCTCGTCTATCCTAATTAGTCAATGATGATACTATTATAGAAGATCGATATGATGGACTGACACATACCTGATTTACATTATACTGAATTAATTTATGAACTTTTTTGTACGTAACGTAACACGTGGAATTTTTATAGATGATTTTACGATTAGATAAAATAATGAATATAATAATATTGTAAGTTCATTTACAATATATATTATAATTGATTTATATCATTAACGTCGCAAGTCTTACACTAATTTTAATAATTGATATTTATAAACTATTCATGTAAAATTGATTATTTTCATAAACATTATAGAGTCTTTGAAATAACCCTAGATGTCGCGGTAAAACATTTATCTCTTCGTGTTTGTTGTTCTTCACAATTTTATTCCCATTGATTGGTGTTTCTTCGTGAATGGAATTTTAATTTAACAATAAACCTGTAAAATGAATATAATGAATACGTTACGATCTACCTATCAGAGGAGCATCCATCAGATTCGTCAATTTCACAAATGGTATCACTTAACTCGTAAATATGCATTTAGTGAAACGTGCATAACCTTATTTCTTTTATGTACCTTCAAATTATATACATATAATGAATATTTATAATGTAGTCTTTTTAGTCATAGAAAAATGAACGTTCACACTTTCCTCATTTTATTTTTAATCTTGTATGTTTTAGCATTATTCAACAAACAGAAGTTACAGCTGCTGCTACGGCTAGCACAGTTTCTGTATCAGAATCTGTTTCAACCGAGAACCACCCAGCAGTCAGTTCGAAAATTGAGATGATTGCTAATCAAATTGTTAATTTAAATCTTATAGAAGTGGCACAATTGAGTGATTTACTTAAAAAGAAACTAAATTTGCCAGATGCTCCCATAATGCCTATGGGTGGTTTTATTGCTAATGCACCAAACGCAGAAGTATGTATGCTGGCTCTTATTGTAACAACATTATAAAGTTAAGAAAAAATTATACATAAAATTATTTTTGTTTTACAGGTGGAAGAAGAAGAGTCTCAAGTGGTACAGACTGCATTCACTGTCAAACTAACAGGTTTTGATGAGAAACAAAAAATTGCTTTGATAAAAGAGTTAAAGAGTATATTACCGGATTGTAATCTCGTGCAGGTAATTTCTTTTGGCTTATTCTGTAATTTGTTTAATCGAATCCATTTAATCGTTTAATCGCATTTTTTACTATATAGGCCAAAAAGTTTGTTGAAAGTACACCGGGTGTAGTCAAAGCTGATATTGCAAAAGACGAGGCTGAAAAGTTAAAGGAAGCCATCACGAAAGTTGGTGGTACAGTTGAAATTGTTTAATATTCCTATGTAAATATATATATATATCTTTATTTAGGTTTAATAGAATTTTTTAATAAAGCAAATGAAAATAAAATAATTTCTTCACTTAAACTTATTTTATCAACTCGTTTTTAATTTTATCGACTCGAGCGTACTGTTAGGAACAAAGATAAGTATATTGTTAAAATTGACACACTGTTACGTAAAAAACATTTGAAATTGTACGAGCAATTATGAAATAAAAAACAAAATTTTAATACAACAAACTTGATTTCTATTTCAATTATATGCTAAAGTCGGAAAATATTTTGGATAAGAAAAATCACGCGATAATCTTTAATCAAATTTAATCGATAATCAGAGATAATCTTTTTCTAACTCGTGTCCACGAATAGCCAATTTCTTTCTTTCCGATGTTTATTCAAAGCGCTTCGTTTCAATCGAGAGCACATGTGCGTTGATAAGCCGATTCGTATGCAAAATATACTGCATTTCGGTTAATCATCGAATTGAACAACTGGCGCTGCGATAACAGCCATATCGATAAAATAAGGGCCGTATCAACCAACTACGCTAGTCGTCTTTCTCTATTCTCTGGTTGATGTCCCAGAGATAATGCAAAATCCTTGGGCAAATCCAAGGAGTGATCACGTTTTGAACATACGCGTCTGCGAGATCTATTTTTACTCGTGTAGAAGAGGGAACTTCGAGAATTTCTTTTATTTTTTTTTTTTAATCGCCCAACGGATGTAAACGGAACTCGGATTGCGACGGTACTGCGCCACGACGACTATTGCCACGATGGCCGAGGAGGCTGACACAAACGATAAAGCGACGATGGAAAGTATAGCGCAAAACATACTCGAGGTTCGTGTCAGCTGTGATCAGGACAGTGCGTGATAACGTAATAGCGGCTTTCGAAGTGTCGAAACGAGTCTCGCCACCGGCAACACCTTATTATCCCGGGCTTTTTCCATCATTTTGACAGGTCAGTACCGGAGGAGGGTCTGCGTCGAACGAAGTAGCCGCATTAGAGTTTCAAGCCTCGCAGGTGATATCGAGGCTCGAAGAGGCTGTCGAAAGGGCGGCCGACGGTGGTGGCACCACCTGGAACAATCCCTCGGGCTTTCTCTCCCAGTCGAAAACTTCAGACGAGATATTAACTTTAATTCAGGTAAATACAACGCTAGCAGAAACCATTGATTCGCGGCTATTGGCTGTTTCCCTGAGATTTACGCATTGATTGGTCGTCGCAGTCACGGTCGTGGCGATCACTCGTCACGTGGTCGTACGATTGTCACCAATCGTTTAATTGTTCTTACGGAATTGCTGGTTGGCGTTCTTTTTTTGAATTATTGAAATTGAATATACTCGCCAGAAAACGTAGGAAATATTAAAAATTAACAACTTGGAAGTTCCGTTCGAATAACATGTTCAAAACTTCATTTCGTCACTTTTTGTATATGATTTTATGGTCTTGGAAGAACGAGATTCGCATTTATTTTTAATGGACATATTAATTGTAATAAACGAAGCTTTAAATAATAATAATAATAGATAACAATATAACAATAATAATAATAATAGATAACAATATTACAATAATAATAATAATAGATAACAATATTACAATAATAATAATAATAATAGATAATACTATTGTATCGTATTTCTTATATTTATTACTGGAAATGATGTTTTTGGAAAAGATTGAAATTCATTTTGTAGGATTTGGTAATTCACGAAGACGCTCCGCAACCGGTGAAAGACGGTTCAACGGAAACGGCGAGTCAGGTGACCACCCTGCCAACGTTGACGGAGTCAGCGAAACTAGCATTAATCGCACACACTATTTCCGCTTACGCGCTTGCACTCCCGAAATCGCACGCTCAGAGATTAGCCGGTCGTCTGGCCGCGGATACAACCAGATGGCTGAGTCATATTTTCCGTTTCGTCGATTGTGCCTCCTCGTTTCACGAGGATCATCTGGAAGGTCTGGTCCGGGTGACCAGGTTGGCTCTACACCGGAAGTATCCTCGATACATGGAGGAAGGTTTTACCGCACTCGCGGCCTCTCCACCTTTAATTTACAGCTCTGTGGCCGCACCTTTAGGTGTGGTTCAACATCTGTGCAAACAGGTATACAGATTTGTAATTTAGAAAAAAAAAAAAAAAGAAGTGAACTTGTCATAGATAAATGTATTCTGATTTTTAGCTGTCTTTGCCACTTCATTGCGTAAGACCCATCCCCCATAACACGATGTTTGGATCACGGTACAGTATGGACGTGTCAGCTCTGGAACGCCGGCTAGCGGAAGATACGCAATCAAATAGCGTGACGCCCCTTCTAGTACTAGCTGAGGCGGGCTCTGTGTTAACGGGACATTGCGACAATATCGCTAGGCTGCGAGCAATTTGCGATAAGTACAATGTCTGGCTCCATCTTAGAGGTCATTCTTTGGCCGCGTTAGCGTTGAATAATTCTACAAAGGATCTGGTGTGTTCACATTTAGTATTTATTTTACTTTGTTTCTCATTTTTATGCTTTAACAAGGGCCTTTCTGATTTTTAGCCTTCAAAGATTGCAGACAGTGTTACGTTACCTCTTGGAATATGGCTTGGTATACCATCTCTACCAGTAGTAGTATCCTTTTAAATATGTGAAAGATTCTTTCAATATTGTTTGAGGATATATTACATTTTTCCTTAATTAATGTATACATAGACGCTATACAGATTAACGGACATAAAGGGTGGTCGTCCAACTCCAAGAGACACAACTTTGTCTTTGGTATCGGGTTTAATGACAGATTCGCTGTCAAGGCGTTTACCAACTTTGCCATTATGGGCCACGTTGCAAGTATTAGGCAGAGACGGTGTACATAACAGACTGAAGAGGTGCTTCTTGGCTGTGGAAGATTTATATAATAAAATTAAGAAATTCTCTTGTATAAGAATACTGGTAATTGATCCGGATAATAATGTTCATTTTTTGTAAATCGAAGTTCCGCTTCGAATTACGCGATCTGTTTTCCAGAGTCAGCCACCCGGGGGTGAAACAGGGTCCTACACCATAAACGAACTTCTAACAAACCCCGTGAACAATCCACAATTATTCGAGGCCGTAGCCAGCGCATTAGTGTTCCAATTTGTGCCTGCAGATAGGGATCCACAGACGGCAGAACGCGTCCCTCCTTATTACGACAAATTAAATTCCTGGCTGGGGCAAATCCTTCAGAGGGATATCGAAAACGTACAGATAGAGCTCTGCGAGATAGAACATCATGGTATTGCAATTCGTATTTGTCCTCTAGAGAATCCGGAGCAACCTCCTACGACCGAGGACGTAGATAACGTAGTTGCTTGTTTGGAACAGCAGATAGTGAGTGCATTTTAAAAGCGGTCTTCATAGTTATCATTGAAGTAACTAATCGCCTTTTCCATAATAGGAAATATTACAAGCAACAGTTGAGCACAAAGCAACGTTTGTGCGATTAGTTTCGGAGAATGACTCTTTACATTTGGTAGAGATGCCTGGTTGGGCAGGTTTAGGCGGTGTACGATACGCTCCTCCTACTTGGATCCACGTCATGACCGACCAAGCGAAAGAAGAACTGAACAGATTGAACACGCAATTAGTCGAAGCTTTGCGAAATACAGACGCGGCGTTTTCTCTGGGGGAAGGTGCCGACGGCTTGGCTTGTGTACGATTTGGAATGGTCACGCAAGATACTGGTGAATGAAGACTATTAATAGTTTACTCTCGATTTAAGTTGAGCGCGTTATCTAGCGCGTGAACTTGAAATAAAGCGTAATTTTTCCACAGACGTGGCGGAATTATTATCTTTAGTTCTACAAGTTGGTCAAGAAGTGGAAGCCAGCTCCAAATTATTGGATACTATATCCGAAGTGGTGAAAAGAGGTATCGAGGCAGCGCAGACAGATTTAGAAAGAGAAAATGCTGAGAAATTATGGCAGGAAGGTATTCTTAGACATGTACCTGTCGTTGGAACTTTCGTCAATTGGTGGAGTCCCCCTTCAAAAGAAACCGGAGTCCGTGGACGTAGTTTGAATTTACAAGCCGGTATATATATATATATTTACTTGCACGTGTCAAGCCCTCCTTTGCGTATTTATAAGTAAATTAATTATCCAATAATGTATGTTTCACATTTAGGAGTTGTTGAGAGTACAGAGAACATTTACAAGTATCACATGCAATTGCAACCTAACTCGACAGTGATCAATGGATCTGGTGCTAGAACTCCACCGCAGCCCCTTGTACAGACTCCAGTTGGCGCGGGCAGCCAAAGTCATAGTCGTTCGTCAAGCCATTCCAGTTTGCAGAGTGGCAAAAGTATCTCTGTAATCACAAATGCCGTATCTCATCCGCAAGTGAAGGAAGAATCTGGCGAGGTGAAGTCGTAGTGAACATTAAACGACACGGGAAATTGATCAACACAGGAAATTCAGTTCGTTAAATTCAAGTTCACAAACTTGGCAAAGGAATGATGCTCTAGGTGAAACGATCGAGCGTTTCCGGTAGAAGCTATCCTTTACATTTGCAGAGCACAGCGAAAAAAAAAATTAGCATCTCTAAAGTGTCGAAGAGCTTGATAAATCGACAAAGGTAAAGACACGCTGTCCTCTCTGTCATTTTTTTCTTCAATAAACTATTTTACGCTATTTTTTTTTATCATCTTGCATCGATCGTATTATTTTTCTCGCTTTCTCATCCGTTTTTGCGACTTTCAACGATTATTTAATTTGATAAATATCTGCAAAGTCTATCAGATATGGCTTGTGTACTTATTAGATTGACAATGAGTAAAGATGTTGCTTTTGCCTCGAATTAATTCGGTAACAAGCATCAACTTAATTTTTCATTAAAATGTTCCCTCTCACAGCACAATATCCAGAAGCGTATCTTTTTACTTTCATGACGCAATTTGAAAAAAAGTTGCTGTTAAGTTTTTAGCTAGCCGAATGAGTATTGATATTATGATATAAAATTAAATAAACTAAACAATAGATTATTTAAGTTTCCAACGACAGTGTTTTACATGAACTATATGTGCACACACGTTCTGAATAAATTTTTCAACCAGATTTTCCATTCTATTTTTTTCAGTTTTTACTTTCCAAACTACGTTTTTGCATTTATTTGCGAGATCTTTTTTCATGAAGCACAATTATAATAAGAACAGGAGACACGTACATGATCAATACGCGATCGCTTCAAGCAAAGAAAAAAAAAAAAAAAAAACACATTATAGGCGCGCGTTGTAAAATTTATTCGAGGAAGCTAAGCTTTTAAAACCTAACAAAGCGTGTAAAGAAAAAAAGAAAAATCAGAGCAATGTTTCGATATTAAAATGATAACCAAAGAGAGAGTTAACATAGAGTTACACGTTCATGCGATTTGAATTGTTACGATGTAATAAATATTTGTGACACAGAATAGGAGCTCTGTTGAGTTGAAAAAAAGAAAAAAACAAAAAAGAAAAAACATAAGAAATACGTTCACATTACAACAGTAATTGGTAAATTGTTGATAGATACATTGAATGGAAAGAAGTTAAACTGTATGTATATTTATGTACCAAATTGTTGTAATAAAGTACTGCAAATTCAATAAATGATCTAGAAATAATTTGCAACTTTTTTTTTTAATTTCAACATACACACTGCTATCAGTTTTCTTTTCATTATGCAGAACGCGAGAAATAATCTTATGTTTCAACTTTATATACATTGTGTCACCGTTTAAAAATCGACGATTTGTTTAAAAGTAATTTGTATAGAGGGAGTGTTATCTGAATGTAGACAACCGTGGATCTTATGTTTTTTTTATTTTCTTTTTTCATAATATTCGTGTTACCATTACAATAGGAGGAATTAAGTCTGGAATATGGCAATTAGACGTAATTCGCAATGCACAAAAACGGTATTGATTAACGAGTTTCGTTTTACTCTTTATATATATATATATATGCGCGCCTTTCAAAGAATTTTCTTTACAATACACGCTTGAAAATGCATCTTTCTTTCGCGCGTACAAAAACACCATAGAAATCTTAAACTTACGTAAAATCTCAATAGCCTCTGCACACTTTGTAAATTACTTCTTTCGCACATCGAGAGAGAAGAAATGCAAAATTAAAGGCGAAATCGATATTTCCAAGGCCTAAAAAGATCTCAGTTGCACGTTTTTTTTTTTTTCTTTTTTTCTGGTCAAACAAACGAACGATCGTGTCGAAATTGTTTCATTCGAGCGTGCACTTTACATCCTGAACTGTACAGTGCGTTTGCAATTCACAGCGATTTCTTTTTCCGACAAATCGATATTTCTTGCGAAACAATTATTCACTAAATGTAACACTAATCGACTGAATGTTGTGCAATAACAATTTTGCATTTATCGCCGAGATTTGATCTGTGAAATCGTACACACTATATAGTCTGTTCTACGAACGTAAAATAGTCAGACAAATCCAAATGAAATGTTTTTCAAACATTCGAACCGTAAGCGAATTGAGGAACGTGAAATTAAAAGGTTCGTTTGTATTCGGCTCTTTTTTTATTTAAAATTTGAGATTATCATTAAAGGATCTGTATCGTGCAAAGAGATACGTGCATGTTCCGAGGAGACGTTATGTCTCTATTCGAAAAATGGCACTTTTCGAGAATCGATTATAAGCCAGTTGTGGAAAATCGAAAAACATCATCCCGTTCCGATGTTTGATTTGCTCTTTTCCTCTTATCATCTAATCTCTTTAAAGATTCTCTAATTAAATTAATTAATTAAAGTTTCATAGGCCAGAACAATGCACCGATTAGAGAAGTTTTTTACGTCCTATATTCGTACTATATTTCCACTACATATAATATATATATATATATATATGTATCAACGCTTTTGAAAATAATTAATTCTCTCTCGCTCTCTCGCATACTTTCTCTCGTTCTTTCTCTTTCAGGCAATTATCATATTAAACGATGCAAGAAATTAAATTGCGGTTGTACTTATCGGGGAAAGTGGTTCTCAACTTGATGTCGTTCCAGCTCGATACAATGATTAGAAAATTGACAAACAATTAGAATCAAAGTTTCGTCAACGATCGTCTATATTACGCATTCGCATATTTAGAATTTAGCTCAATATCTCCGTATGCCTTTTTGCATTTACGTAGATTTATGCATTTGTCTCATAAATCGTTTCTTCGACAGATCAAGACAGATTATACTTTCTTATCAGGCCGATTCTGATTCGAACAATCGAAAATATTTTCAAAAAGTATACATGTAAGATAGATCTTCTCTTTCATTGCACGATCTTCTCGACTTTCGCGAAGACTTTCCTTCGATGAAAGTTTTGATAAATTCTGGAAAATACCGCATTGATCCCCCGTTCGCGTGTTTTTTTTTTTTTTGTAACAGTCTCGAAGACGAAAGTTCAAAGTATTTTCATTTACCTGTCTCGCGTCGATTCGCGTGCTCACTGTGTCACCCTATATATTAATTTTTTTTTTTTCTTTGCTCCCCACTTTTTTGATTATCCTACTAAAACTAAAATATTCTATCATTCGATTCAGTTTAAAATTTAAAATAATACTCGATTCTCGATACTGGGCGATAGCGATGATGGCGTCAACGAAGTACGTGGTAAAAAAAAAAAAAGAAAGTATCGTTTACTTTTTTATACAGCATTTGCAAAATAATCTCCAGTTTTTTCTTTTTTAACTAAAACAAAATAAAAAGAGCATATATACATTGTTACATAAAAAGAAATTACAATATAAAATATATGTTATCTGAGGCCCCCATCATATCTTAAAAAGATCATATCGACTCGTGTTTTGCTTAATTTAAAATCTTAAAACAACGAGGAATTCACATGATCTCAAAGATCTTTTCTCGTCAACTAAATTTTTCATGGTTAGTGATTTTTAATTAATTAAAAAAAAAAAAAAAAATTAGTGAAGTATAGTAATTTGAAGAATACTGAACGAACTCTTCTAGGAAACGTTCGAAAAATTGTGCCACATTGGAAAAGTTTAGCAAGAAACTCTGCCGTATGCAATTGGTGGACAGTCGAACATGTACAAAAAGAAAAACCTTTGTTTTATTCATTGACTAGGATGTTTCTTCTCTTCTAAATTTAAGGAAACGAAGTTCACACATACACAGACACGGACGTACACATATGCATTCTCTCTTTTTCCTTCTGTAATTCGTTTCCGATTTCTCATTCGTCGATTCGACCTTAAGATTATAATCAATTAACGGCTAGATCTATGTGTCGCTATACTCTACGCGCTATGATCGCTCCTTGTATTTTTTTTCTTTTTTTCTTTTTCCTTTCAGTTTAATAAATATTACAACTATGTACAATGGATCAAACGTGTTTATACCTAATCATGCTTTTTCTACCTACACCGTTTCCATGCTCGTTGCGAACAGTAAACGTAAAATCGTATTTTACTTCTCTAAGTTCTCTTGATAATATCGTGAAAAAGGAAAAGAGAGAAGAAAGAAAGAAAAATGTATAATAAAACATTCTGTCAGGAATGGCAGCCTCTTCGTTTCAGGAAGAACACAGCCGCTCATTTCCCTTCAATTGAAGAAATGATGAGAAACGAAAGAAAATGGCAGAGGAGAACGATATTATCTCTGTGTAAAATTTGTAACACCTAAATTTAAGTTATATCACACGTACACATCTTCTTATTTCTTCTTGATGTTCTCCCCTCTTCTTCTTTCTCGCATTATCTTGATAACCTTACGCGCCTACTGTTATCTTACTGCCTATTTACACACGTTTTCGCTGAATACGATGCGGAATATAAAGTCGTCGTCCGCCGATTCGTTGCAGATATCATTCATCGATCGCGAACTATCTCGTGGGCCCCTTTCATCAGGGGGTACCGATACAAGGAAGACTTTGCGCTCCGCAAATAATTCAATCTCGATTTTTTTTTCTTCTTTTCTTTTTGGTTTTTCTACTTGGTAGTGAAAAAACACCGATATTACGAAAACTCTGTTGCAGTCGATGAGAATACCATCGTCGTGGAATGATAATCGTCTTCGAGTTCACGTTTACCAATAATCCTAAACATTTTAGATAGGAGATGGACAAGAAAAAAATTTATTTATAAACGGATTATCTCTTTCTTTCACGTTTGAAATCGATCAAGTTAATTGGTATTCTCATCAGTCCAGATCCTTCGAGAGCATCGTCGATACATTATTCTCTACCTCGAAGGACATGTCCTCGAAATGCAATCCGGATACTCGACATGTGTATATCGATACAATAGAAAAGTTTAGAACTTTTATCTTACATAAAAAAATGAAAAAGACCTGATGCACGCTTGCGCTTTCACCGTGTTTGTACTTAAAACGTATGCTTGCCCGAGTATTGGCAGAATTCTTCTCTTTAGTTTCTCTCTCTCTCTCTCTCTCTCTCTTTCTCTCTTTTTAGTCCGTTTCTACAACGATTATCGTTACTTCTCTCGTTTCGTTTCATCGCGATTTGAAATTCACGAACACTTATCGTTTTGCTACGAAACTTTAAATGTTAATGTTGATAAGTATACATATATATAATATTCATATCACTCGTTCTGTATTTCGTGCGGTAACTTCATATATCAATATGTGTATACGGAAATGCTTTGCCAAAAAATCAATGATCAAATTCGTCATTCGTGTGTTCTTCGATAAAGATGTAAAAAAGTATATATAAAAATTGTGTCGTGGAATATCGTTCGCATTCAGTATAATCGCCGTAATAACTCGTGTAAAAAGTTGTTTCCAAAAGTTTCACTTTTACAGACTGGCGTGATATTAATTCAAAAGGGTGACGAAACCAGTGAGTAAGATGATTTTGTATAGAGTAAGTAACGATATATAACTAGCTATAGAAAGATTGTACAGGAAAAAGTAGTAGGCCATGATAATTAGTAGAAATTAACAGCATAAACGTAAAACGAAACTTAACAAATTTTCAACATCTTCAAAGAGATGCCTGATAAACCTGTATAATGTTCACTCTGTATACTCTTCGTAGGCGATTTATACATACTAATATTTACTTTGCAGTTGTGCTTCTTCTTTGTGTTGTCAATATGAAAATGAATAACTAACAAGCAATAATAAATATGGCAATGATCTTGTTTCAACTTTCTTTGCTCGTGCAACGCACCACTCCTCTGTTCGATCAAGAAGCAATAATAATTTACAGAATGAGCTAACGCAGAATGACAATTACTGTACATGATATACAAATACAAAACCATGGGTATACAAGACCTCACAGGACTAAATATTCATTGTACTGAACAAATAAACGACAAGAAGAAATGTCATCTCATTAATGTTCTCGAAGTTCTCCCACAGAGAAATTTCATATTGTAATATTAATCTAAATATACTTCGATTATCAATGTAAATGAATCTCTTTAGCTCTTCTAGCCGTTTTTCAACCTCAACGCGATTTTTTACAACGCGGTATATATCGTTCTGCTTCGTGATTTTACACGATTCTAACGTTCTTTTTGCCCCCTTTTTTTTTTCGCTCACGTAACTCGCCGACCTTTACTCTTGCTTGCAAAACTATTTTTGTCGAAGCTCTTACACACTCTGGAAATACCAATCCATCCTTGCTTTTCATCCTTTTCATCGTTTTCTCATCATTCACGAAACTGACGAGGAATATTAAACGCGCGAATGTTTATCGTACAGTTATAAAAGATGTATGATCTTTCCTTTCCATTTTCTTCGCTTTAATTTTGATTCCTCGAAAATTCTGAATATCCTCGCGTAGGTGAAAACTCTAGCACCGCAGTCCCCACCGATTGTACTCTTAGAACGACGATTTTTTTTTCTTTTTTTTTTTTTTGCGAAATCTTACGTTTATAACGTACATAATAAATGTTCGTGATTCTTATCTAAAGTTACCAAACGATTGAGCCATTTCTCTTCTCGAGTTTACCGTATAAAATAAAAAAATGCATATACGAAAATACGCACGTCGGTACGTAAACGTTTAAAAAATGTAGAACGCTTCCAAAAAGGAGTTCCTTGAGACAATGATATTGTGCACTGACAATTTCAATTTTTGGCAGACGTCCGGCGAAAATGTACCACTGAACTGGTCTGTGAGACGGTCTTCAAAAAATCTTGGACAATGGCAGTTTGTATGCGTTTGGTGTGTCGTTTGATTTTTCTTACAGTTCCGTTACTGCGTACAAATTGGGATCGCTACCCTGTACTTGGCTCAACGTTGCCACCGTTGATTTGTTCTCTTGCCTCGACTGCGCACGATTGTACGTCCCGTACATATTTGGTACAGCGTTATTCTGCGTGGCACCGTTGAACTGATTTCTCGTGAAATTTCTGTCCAACGTTCGCACCTGATCCTGCATCTGGTCTTGAATCCGAATGTTCGGCGTTTTGTTTCGCACCAGGGAGCGAAATTGATTCATGTTTGTCTGCGAACGAGACTCGAACTCCCAAGTGGGCTGGCTGCTAGGATTCGGTGGCAACGGGCGACTCTGATTCCAAGCTGGAGTCGGGCCTCTCTTTAAGTTTGCTAGATTCTTCGGGTCCAGCGTCTGCGTTTTGCGAGAGTCTTGAAAAGTGGCCAGATGTGCAGGTCCGTGAGAGTTGTGAGACAGGGTACCGGTGAAGGATGCCACGCTTGGTGTCCACGGTGGTTCTCTACCTGTGGATATCGAGGCAAAATCTCCATTCGACAACACGAAACTTGAACTTGAGAGGGAACGTTTAAGAAAATGGTAACAACAATAATGAAACAATGGAATTTACCGGGCCCTGCGGGGGCGTGTCCTCAGTAAAAATCACTGGACTCGAGGGTTTTGCACTGTTTGCTCAGAGTCGCGTACTGGCCAGGTTGATCTCCGAGCCCAGAACGGTGCTCAGCTCGTCCACCTGTCGATTGCTGATTATGCTGAGACGATTTGTGATCCCCGCCTCCTCCGCTCCCGTTAATACCCCCACCTCTGTAAATGGCAAATCGAAACGAACAAAAGTTGCAGTATTATCTTTCTCTCGGACGGTTCTCTGATGTCTAATTTCTATATCGAGGAAACTGTTGTGTCATTCATTGTTCATCTCGTAAAAACAGATCTAAACACGAACGCTATAAATAAAAAAACGAACGAAAACACGCGCAGAAGCATACTATCGCTAACGTTTCCATATATATATATATAGAGAGAGAGAGAGAGAAGAATGAAAGTAAATTCTCTTTCTTGCTTTCAACATCAATTAGAAGAATTAATTGGAAAAGAGTCGAGAAACATGATTATCGTATGAATGTTATAAGAGAATTTGAATTGCCAGAATGCTGTAAAGAACACCAAAGAGAAAAACCAAACGATTGTACAGTTATTGTTCTGGCAGACAATACTCTGGCTAATGATCGCAATTAATTCGCATTCAAGTGAGTGAATGATTTCATTCTTAATGATGAAAATGATCAATAACTGTACCACGTTGTTTGCAATATCGCCACCAGAATGTTGTAAACAGTTAAAGCAACATTAGCAGACCTAACATAGTATCTATCGACATAAACAAGTCACACTGTAAACTGTAGAACTGAATTGATTCAACAACACACTGGCAAAAATGGGAAATCAATAACATCTCATAAAAATCGAATAAAAAGTCACACTGTCTATGTATAAAGCGAACAGAGTAAAGATTTGATGTAAACACTTGCACCTTTGTCAATATAACATTACTCATAATTCATTCGTTTAAAATTTTTTATGATTCTCACATCAAGTCTTCGATTTAATGAAGCTGGTTGTTGCGAAGAGGAATCAAGTTTTTTAACTTTTCCTTGAATTTTATATTCAGGGAACGTTGACCGAGTGATTCTCAAAGGAGGTTCGTCGTAAAATTAAATCCCTCTTTAAACCGCGTCGTAAAATTAATTTGAGAAACTGTCGCGGTTCACGCTGCTTTTAACGTTTAACCTTTATCGTATTATAATGCCACATTTCGTAATTGCTTCATTTGCGAAGCTGACCGAGGATCCGATATTCTGGTACTATTTGAATTCACATCTTACTTACAGCTTCCAGGATAATTCGAAATTATAGTTTGTTAACCCCTTTGTATTCCCTTTTAACGCTAGAACTACCAAAGTAGTCAAATCTATGTTTTTCTATGGGAATTTTGTGTGTTTATGACAGTATATACTCGAATGTATCTTCAACAAAATATATTAATAGAAGCTTGCGTTCTTTGTTGCATTAACTTTCCCCTGTACCTTGCACTTTAATTCCTTTACTACAAATATTATACTTTGGTCGTCGGTAGTTCTAAATGGTTATTTGGCTCAACGAATCAAACGTGTACGTTCGTCGTGTACGATAAAGGTAAACGATAGAGCTAATAAATGAAACCGAGTAAAATCTCATGCACAAACTTTAGCATGCTCTCGTGCAGCTGACGTGCTCGAGCAGTCGCAGTAGCGTAGGACGGCGGGGGCGGCGTTAGCAAGAGAGGCTGCTTAATGGTATTTTGAGTGCCATGAGCATTCGGATAAAATACAGAAGGGGCTGTAGGCGGGTACGACCCTTGGCCTCGAAGGGTCCGCGCTGCAATCGCCTGCGAAGCTGCCGATGGCGGTAGATACGGGTCCTGTTCGTCGACTTGATGGTAATCTCTTCTAGAACAAAGTCCCCGTTAATCATACTCTGTGCGTTGCATCTCCCAGCTGCGTTCAAACGCTGCGCACTCACCGCTTTCGAATATAGATCCAAGTGTGAGAGTCCACCCAAACTAACACCGTGAAGAACAGACCGGCGGCTAAACTCGCCAACAGCATGAAAGTTAGTCCGTACCTACAAGAATTTCAATAGGTTTTTATTGAATAATTGAAATTCAATGGGGTGTATCTACTTCTTCGGATCTAGCGGAGAGAGTAAAATACAAAACTCACAGTCCTAAATGGCACAAGCTCTTCGCGGCATGAACGTATTGCTTGTGAAGTGGCTTGCAATCGAGTAACGTCGTCAATCCCGACATCAGCTTGTTCACGGTGGACACGTCGATCGAGAGGCTGGTCAATTTCGGTTGCAAGTGTTGCTCTTTGAACAACTCCAGCGCGAACCTGGTCACGGTGTTCATGTTCTCTCTCATGTTGCTCGCCGCGATTTGACCGTCGTTTAATCTCTGGCTGAACGGATTGCTGCGCGTGTTCTCGCAGTGCGTGTAATACGAAAGAACCTCCGAGGCTAGAGTGGACGGTACCGCTCTGGTTAAGTAACCGTCTGGGGACACGCAGAGATCACCTAAGGCCACTGAAGTCGCGAGGTACAGCGATGCCATCAGCCAGGAGACTATCACCGCGAACAGACCAAACACGGAAAATCTGAAAACGGAGATATTTCGTAACGAGTGATCGTTAGAGCCAAAGTTTTTACTCCAAAGTAAAGCCAAATTTTATTCCAAATGTTTCAAGTCCCATCGCTGACAACTGGCATCAACATCTCTTTTGAGATTTGCCAAAACACAAGAGTTTCAAAGAGTCGAATCCAGTCCAGGATTGGGACCAATCCTGTTTTCGTACGATTTTTGTCAGGGAGGAGGGGACGGAGAAACGAAAGGAAAGAAAAGAAACACGTACGTTATGAGAACACATCTGGAATGTCGCGCAACTCCGACAACCAACACCACGCAGAGAACAAGAAGCGCGCTGAGAACGGCCATAGTGACGGGCCACCTTAATTGCTCTATCTTCTCTCCCATCCCGATCGCGCCAGCCAGGCTAATGCCGTTCAGTGGTTTTCGAATTTCGAAGCTCCGGTTCATGGCTATGTTCGTGTTCTGCTTCATGCTCTGCAGAGCAGCCAACAGCAGGCCGAGCATGGTTTTATTGCTGACAGGGGCATCGAAATCGTCTCCCAAGGCAGTCAACTGCAGCTGCACTTTCTTCTTCAATGTCGCCTCGATGGTGTCGGTCTTGAAAAAGCGAAAAGAAGAAAACAAACATCGTTCAGGCGATTTCTTTTTTTTTCAGCAGCAAGGTGACAACACAAGTGTCGACGAGATAATGGTACTTGATAGAGTAATTTGGGAGAATGAGAGGAACTTTCAGGCAAATTTCAATAAAAAATGGTTGAGACAAGATTATTAATTTCCAAGACACAAAGCGTTGATTCGCTTCTCTTAATTCTTCAAAAAAAAAAAAAAAAACCAAAAAAGTCAATCCGTTTTACCGGCTTTGAAAGATCTTTAATTTAAAAAAAATGGGATTTCCTCAGGTAGCTGGAAATCGGATTATTTATCGCGAGACGAGTCTCTCTTCTTTCGACTTTATTTCCATTACGGTTGTCCGCAAACTCCTCGCTATTCTTGACCCGAATTAAGAACGGCTCAGTCAAGGTACGTTTAGAAGTAAAGGCAGAAGGAAAAAGAAATTAGGGAAAAAACTAGAGCACGAACTAATTGCGAGCAGGTTGCAGTTCTGTTTCTTCGATTAAAGTGCAAACGCGAACGTGCATGCAAATGGAGAAAGAGGTGGAAAGAAGTAACGAAAGAAGTTGAAGTACAACGAAGTGTTCTATTCGAGGAGTGGCTGCTCGCAAGATCAACAGAGACACATCCCTTTTATATTTTTTAAAAATATCTCGCACTTTCCTTAGAAGCTGAGAAGAGAGAAACTTAACAGATGAGAAACTTAAAACTAATTAATTATTATTTTCAATATTATTGTCTCGCAACACAAGACGCAATCTTGGATGTTGTGCTGTCTGTGATCAGAACGAAAGAGGAGAACAGAAGTTTGAGACGAGCGCAACTCTCGTTTCGGTGTGAATTCAAAACGGACCTGATTCCGTACACCCATGAGAATACCATCGACGTTCTTCGCGGCGGCCACCAATTGCACCAAACCGTTGTGCACGTCGTCGTTACCGTAGAGGCCGACGGCAACAGCTCCGCTGCAGAGCAACGCCAGGATGGCCAGCGAACACTTCAGCAGGGTTATCGACCTCCTGGGGCGCGGTTTCCGGTCGCAGCATCTCGTTACCAGGTAGACCAGCAGTACCAGCAACGTGAGGATTAACCAGGCTGCGGGGATGCTCCCAAGTATCCCGAGGCTCTGTTAATTAAAGTTAAACGTTAGTTATCGGCGTGTGTTTTTAATAAAATCGTTTGCGTAGGAGCGCATCCTCCTATCTAGCCTTTATCCTTATCTCGTCTCAGCCCACCCCACTCCACCCACTCACCCTCAGCATCCTCTTTCGCTTTATTTCTCTGGCAATTAACGCTCGAGTCGCGTTTTCTTTCGGCGTGACCGCCGGAAAAGTCACGAGGTTTAATTAAATTTTAGATCATCGTCCTGTGACGCTGGTCTTTTCTTTTCATTTCCTCCCCATCTTTCATCGTTCTTCTTCTTTTTCAAAATTTCCTGCAAACGCTAATAGCTTCCTGTTAGATTGAGAAAGAAAGAGAAAGAGAGAGAGAGAGAGATCAGAAGCTTCTGTGCCTATACTTTCTAATTAATTCTCGCGCGACCGGTACCGTTAATTAAGCTTGAAAACTCGAGAGTTCCCACAACACACAAAAATCCCAATGGCTCGACGTCGCGAAAAACACGAGCCATTACTACATAGGGCACACGGACGTGACACACGGGTGGCAAAGGCAAAAGGAACACGCGACGCGAACGAGTATTTCCAGTAACCACGCGGACATCCACGTTTCTAGTGCTAACGTTCTCTTAATTTCCCGGTTCGATAACGCGAACGTTGAACCGAATCGCGCGAACCGATCGCCGACAGATGCATCCGGGACCACCGGTTACGCTCGATCGGAGCATATTATTAGCCAGTGCCGCCATAGAACAGAGCCTACTTGTTGCTCGTGCTCATGCTAATTAACTACTGGGCAAGGATGTCGAAAGGTGATAGCGGATCCGCGTGCGTCTCGCGAAGATTGTCGCCCGCCGTGTACCGGTGACTCACGCCGAGTGAATCATGGCGAGTTCACGCGCTCCAGAATGCTTGCCAATCGCCGATCATCGTCAGTATTCGTACTTTCTATAATCCCGGTCTTGGAAGCCAAATGATTGACCATTTTCTTTTTTTTTCTTTTTTTTTTTTTTTCCTACGAATCTCTCCACTTTGTTATCAACACCACCGACGACCAAAAGTATAATATTCGCGACAAAGAAATGAAAAAGTGCAGGGTACAAGAAGAAATTAATAATACGATTAAAAAAACACAAATTTTGTTAAAAATCACTCGAGTGTCTAAAAATACGCTGTTGTAAATGTATAAAGTTTCCATTGGAAAATTGTAAATTGGTCACTTTGACCACTCTGGTAGTTCTAGTGTGAATAAAAAATTGATTTATTTCATAAAGGAAACGTTAAATTAATAAAGATTTCTATATATCGAAAGATTGATCCCGATCTTGGAAGCCAAATGATTGATCATTTTCTTACGAATCTCTCCACTTTGTTATCAACACCACCGACGACCAAAAGTATAATATTCGCGACAAAGAAATGAAAAAGTGCAGGGTACAAGAAGAAATTAATAATACGATAAAAAAAACACAAATTTTATTAAAAATCACTCGAGTGTCTAAAAATATGCTGTTGTAAATGTATAAAGTTGTAAATTGATTATTTCGAGTACTCTGGTAGTTTTAGTGTGAAGTAAGAAATTGATTTATTTAATATTTAATAACGTTAAATGAATAAAGATTTCTATATATCGAAAGATTGATCCCGATCTTGGAAGCCAAATGATTGACCATTTTCTTCTATTGGAATCTCTCCATTTCGTCATTAATTCAGAAACTGATTTATTTATTTATAATAATAATAATAATGGAATCATTAAATAAATAAAGATAAAGTTAAAGTTTCAAAAGAAACATCTCTGACGATGTCATCACACACATTTTTTTACTTTCCAACATATCGCAGCTGATTGAAATAGCTTCTGAAGAGCTTATCCCAACTTAAACAGTGTGAAATTTGCTATTTTTAATATCGAAGGATCAAGAAAATAGAGCGATAGAATAAAATATTACGATGTTGTGTTTTAAATGGCAATCGAACAATCGAATTATTTCACGCGAGCTATACCGGCGGCATCGTGATGCAATAAAAACGGACCGGCGTCATTTACCTAATCACTTTCATCATCATTATTCCATGAAACGTTACATTTGGCCCGGTGGATTAACGCACGGCGAAGAGCACGATTGCATATTCCGTTTCGCGATTGAGCTCGACTCGCTTGAAAGATGGTTCGCACGGTCGACGTCGCCGTGGCTCACGGAAAATTTGATTTTTCTATCGTGTAACTCAAAGGCCCTGCACGCCACCGTAGGGTCAACCACCCTCGTGGGTTCGCGTGCCACCCCATGGAACCCGCTACATCGACCCGTGTATATATGTACACATATTGCATTCATTATTTACGTGACATCGATAAACTTCGCCTATAATTCTCAACAGTCTGTGATTTTTCGCCAAAAAACCGATACCCCTCGTGTTCCCACGTGTTTCCAATTCACAGCGGCGGAATTTTCACGTTCAGGATCATTAGCTTTCGCACGAAAATCGTTATATAGTTATATAAGTAAAGTTAAAATGTAATTTGATATAATATTATATAATATAAAGTAGTAAAGTTCTTTCTAACTTTAAAGTGGTTTGATTGATTATTGAGTAAAATAGTAATATTATATATAATATAAAATAATAAGTAGCAATAAAATAGTAATATTATATACAATATAAAATAGTAAATAGTAATAAAACAGTAATATTATATACAATATAAAATAGTAAGTAGTAATAAAATAGTAATATTATATATAATATGAAATAGCAAATAGTAATAAAATAATAATATTGTATATAATATAAAATAGTAAATAGTAAAAAAACAGTAATATTATATATAATATAAAACAGTATAAATAGTAATAAATAGTAATAAAATAGTAATATTATAATATAAAATAGTAAATAGTAAAAAAATAGTAATATTATATATAATATAAAATAGTAAAGTTCTTATAACTGTAAAGCGGTTTGACTACAAGAGTAGGTAATATTAAAACGAGAGATGAATTTTGGTTTGTTAGTTGATTAGATTATCACACTGATTAATAACATAGTGAAATTTAATTTATTTAATTAGAAAAAAAGAACGTTCTCCGGGATGGTTACCAGTATTATTTCAAAATGGGACGAATCTCGAAAACAGAAAAACGCTACCCATCGATTTCGAATAATGTTTCTGAAAAATAATTGCTAAAACGACGCGAGAAAAGCGGAATCGGCCACGATGGATCTGAAATTTATAACGAAGAGGCACTGTCATCCGGTCTTTCACACTTCTTTTTAAATTTAACAAGCAGGATTCTTCCGACGAAAGTTCAACTCACTCGATGGATTATAACGTCGAAATCCAATTTTCTTCTTATGATATTGAGAAGTTTATTATATATTATTTATTATATATTTTTTAGATATCGCGCGTTTCGTGAAAACAGTCGCGTAATTCGAAATCATCGAACAAATACCGAGCGAAGGAAATCGAGTTGCCGATTCGATACTCGAAAAGAAGCGTAGAAACGTGTCGCCGACTTTGAGAGTTGGAAAACGGAAGTCATCGCCAGCCATAATCGTAACCAGGGAGATATCTATTTCTCACTTTTGTCGAGAACTTCGCCGACAGTTCGGAGTAGTTGAAGACAAATGAAACGGGGACGTGTGAATTTATGGAAAATCTTTCCTCCACTGGCGACGGACACACTTTTCTTCCAAACAAACTTCGTTGCCTCGTCGAACTGAATTTTGCAACGGGAGTTTGTTGTCTCTACAATCGAAAGAATCGAACGAGCGCAGTTTACCTAGGATAACGCAGTCTCCTCTTGATGCCATTTGCCTGAAGTATATCATCTCCCAGACGAATATTTTTCAGAAACCGAAACTTTACCGAATGATATTTATTTCTGTCGTAAATTGCGCGCGAATTATGGAAATACATCGGAGTATTATGGAGCTGAATGAAAATTTTCATTCCCATCGTGTTAAATTATGTAATTCCAATTGTAAACTATATACTGGAGACTAAACTGCAGAGTTACAGAAAATTTGAAACTATCAAAAAAGATGCGAATTCAGACAGGATTGAAGATTGAACCCTCTACATGTAAATTGCATTTTTAAGGAACCAGGACAGTTTTAAATTTTAAAAAAAATCGATTTTTTTTTGTTTTGTTTTGTTTTAAATAGTTGTTTGAAGTCTTAGAAATATAAGATACAAAAGGTCCTAGCCTTTAAAACGACTTGTTTTGAGGTATAATAATAAATCCGCGGATACAGAATAATTGAATTTGTATCACTGTTTACAACTTTAAGCAATATTATAAAGTGTAAATCGTGTGATTCAAATATTACTTTTGGTGAATCGAATATTAGGGGACTTGGATTCAATTTAGTTGTGAATTGTGAGAACTATGAGCCGCGATATATAAGTAAAAAAAAATAAGTAAAGGATACATATGAAAAATGACGTTCCGAAACTTTAAACGCGTTTTTCTCGAAACTAATTTTTTAGAAACGGTGTGCATGATATCTCGGAATCTAACCAACCGATTACTATGAAACTTGGTACGTATCTTTAGCGTAACATTTACTAGGGATTGACGATTGAACATTTTTTAATTTTTAACAATTTTGAAAGATATAAACAAAAAAACGTAGAAATTTCTGGCATAAATTCGATACATCAAAAACAAATAGTTGCTATTTTCATAATTTACACAAAAATGAAAATGTTGGATCGTCAATCCCTAGAGAATGTTGTTTACTTTTGAATCATGCACACCGATAGGCAATTGTAGAAAAAAGTTATGTAAAAGGATGCAGTTATGTTAAAAACCTATAATAAGAACCTCTTTTTTTCTCTTTTAATGTTCATAATGTGTCAAAATAAACTACAAAAGCTCATGTCAACCAAATATGTACTTTTTTTTTTTTTACTAGCCCTCGTAAAGTATTCGTAATTTTTAGGTCAAACTATACGACATAACGATCGCCAACGTGGTCAAGTATTTGCAATCGAAAC